TGTTCAAAAGTTTACATATGCTTGACACAGTGTGCTGTTACCTGGCTAATCAACAACTGTTTTATGTCTTATGTTTGTAATACTTGTTCATTAGTCCCTTGTTTGAACTGAGCAGCTCATCTTTTAAAAGAGGACAGGGATTTACTCATTCTGTTTCACTCTATTACAAAAGGTGCGAACAATAATTAATGCTCAAGAATGAAACACACGGCATTAATAACCAGGGGGAATTTAAACTTTTAATTTTGAACAGAATAATAGGTGTAATTATGTATCATGGTTTATCGAAATGAACTGTTCAAAAGAACCGATTCGCAGAAACGAGTCGTACATTCCATCACTACAACCAAAGACTGTAGGCATCTAGTGTTAAAAACGGTAATGACTGTCGTTTAATGGACCATTCACAATATAATAAATAGTTTAATTGAGCGATTTTGGAGAACCCAACATCCAGTAGCTTGGAAAGGAAGTTGTCACGGTAACCCGGATGTACAGAAAAGCACGTGACGGTGCTTTGAGCGTGTGGAAGAGAGCGTGAGATGAAAGTACGGCGTATATAAATGCGTTGTGTACTGTCATATACAGTGGTATACAGTTTCTGAGGGATGTGGGAATTAATTTCTGTCAACACTATGATCAATTTTATCATCTGACAAGATATGCAAGCACATAACTCTGTTAATACTTAACTTGCTTCAGGTTTACAGTGTTTATCTAAAATGAACAGCGTTTACAAATATGTTTGCTGAAGAGGAATAGACTGATTCTCCATTACCAGATGGATCATATCACACTATTAAAATGTCTCCTGCCCCTGGCAAGGCATTATGATTTTTCGTCTTGTTTAAGTATAGGTCTATTACTTGAGTTTAATTTTTCATCTGGTATTTTTATCCCAACAGGGTAAGTTTGTGGGTAAGCGAAGTCTTTTGAGAACCTTGCAAGCATTGGGTTCAGTTCCAGACTGGGAAACTGGGAATGTTTTTGAGGATAGTGATGAGGAGAAAGACGCCTCCACTACAGTTAAGGCAACAAAAAAGAAAAGGTGCAAAAAGCGTAAAAGAACATCTAATGCTGTAAATGAAGGGAAGCAGCAGGATAAAGTAGATTCATCTGAACCGCCTGTGAAGAAGAAGCCAGCAGAGAAGACCGTAAATGAAACAAGTGAGAACATGTGATATTCATTTTATATGTCTACCCTCTTGAACGTTACTGACTGTATCACATCAATTTGTGTTTGCAGGTTCTAAGGTGTCACAAGAGTCCAGAAGAGATACAAATGACAAAGGAGTCGGACATCAATTGGAGAAAACGGAAGGTCAAGCAGAGAACAAGCTAAGCAGAAAGCAGTGGAGGAACAAGACGAAGAACAAAAAAAGGTGTAAGAACAAATATCTTCCAGAAACAATGGGAGTCGATGATGCCAATGCAAAGGAGGAACCATTAGTTCAAACACAGGACGTCAAAGAATCCAAGAAAGTGAAGAAGCATGACAGGGCATCCAAAAAAACGAAGAAGTCTCATGAAAAGAATGGCATTTCTTCCATTTCGGACAATGCTGAAAATGGCAAAGACTCTAAAACAGATGAAACATCCAGCACAGGAACCAGAATAGTAGATGACTCCCTAAGTAACGATAAAGCCTCACATAAAGTGGAAGATAAAGGGAAACCTTCTAAAATGATGAAAAATTCGCAGGCAGAAATATTGCGTCGTATTTTAAAGTCACAGCTTCCTGATGATGGCAATAAAGCCTCAGAGGAACGAGAAGAACCAAAAGGTACAACAGTAAGTTTGAAGGGTGATGAAGAGCAAGGGGCTCCTGACCCCTCAACTGCTTTAAGGGCAAAGATGGAGAAGCGGTTAGAAGCCGCTCGATTTCGCTACATCAATGAGCTGCTTTACACGTCCACCAGCGGTGAGGCCAAACGCATGTTTCAGCAGGACCCAGAGGCCATTGCAGTTTACCACAAGGGCTACACAGCACAAGT